ATCCAGGTGTTTGTTAACTTTGCCAAGAAACAAAGCGATAACCTTGAGCAGCAGGATGTGTCGCCGCTGGGCAGTGGAAAGTCCCCCCTGCAGCGCATCTTCAGCCTTCTAAAGTCTCGAACGGCCAACACAGAACTCAACGCTCTGATCAGTGAGGCGCCAGAAGAGCTGGAGAGCGATGATGATGAAGGTCTCATTAGCTTCGAAGAGGAACGGGTGAGCAGATCCTGCCTAGAGTTTTCTGTTTCTCTGTTCATTGAAGTTCAGAGGGAGGCGTACACAGGTGAAGGTGCAGCAGGCCCCACATCTGTGTCTGGAAGGTCAGTAACATGAGACAAACAGAGATATCGTGTGTGGAAGAGACATCACCCAGAACTTGGGCTAGGACATACTGTAGTGTTACCACGAGATGTTGTAGCATCAGTGTAGCTTGCAGCAAGCAATGGAAACACTGCTAGTACTGTAGAAGGACAGGTACTCAATGACCCTCATCACCACAGCACAAACCTCAGGAGACAACAGTGAAGAGTTAACACTGGAGTAGCTTTTCACCAGCAGAGTAAACAAATGTGCTTAACCAGCATGGTTTCCTCTACACGTGTAAAAGCTAATGATTTAAACACATTCAGCCTGTTTTCAATGCAGCAGTGGCCTCTAAAGGAGCGAACCATCTAACGCTGACAGTGTTACATAAATGTGTTCACACAGGGTCTCAGCCCATCTATCATCAGGTAACAGAACAGGATTGCACCCTGAACAGGTGGTTAGTCTGTCAGACTTCAGACTGTGGAACAACAGGTAGTATGTGCAGACTCTGCAGATGAGCTGCAGGTCTGAACCAAGAACATTCTCACACTGTTCTCAAACAAACACTGGATTTTCTTATGCACGCTCCCTGACAAAGACATCACCACTACGTGGTAGCACGTGTAGTGATTTTCTGGTGTGTATATTTGTGTGTGTTTGGCAGGTGCAGCTCTCTTTCAATACAGACACCCTCTGTTAAAATGAGCTACTTTCACATCAGAGAGCAGAGGGGAGGGCAGAGGGGGGACCCCTGATCCCACTGGTCTGAGCTATGCGTTCCTGAGAGTATGGCACCGCGACCCTGAAGAGGACCAAAACTCTCTGAACACAGCACCTGAGGTTCAGTATTTCAGGCTTCAGATGGACTCTGCACTAGGACGGCAACATTATACTTTGAGTGTGTGAATTTGAACCCTTTATGAAATGTTAAAAACCAAGTCTTTGATTCCACTGGTGTCTCTGAGCTGACTGGAATCACCCCCTAAGGGTCCTTGTTACTCTGTAGACCTGCCTTGAGAGCATGCTGTGATGATGATAATACACCCTGTTTTTCTGTGGTAAGATTTATTTTGAAGGCAGCTACAAACTGCTGTGTTGGTTCGTTTGTTTAAATCTTTTTCTTTCTTTTTTTTGCGTTGGGGGGGTGCACCCTGTAAGGGGGCGTGCGTGGACCTGTGGGGGAGCAGGAGGCCTTCTTGCCTTCTTTGATGTTACCAGGTGAATGTACACGGGTGTTGTCATGGTGATGCCTCCTCCTCTCGGTTTGTTCTGACACTGTACACGTGGTCGCTTTCTTTTCTGTTTTACATATTAGTACTTTTATTTATATTCTTATTATTTTTATGAATATTATTGTAACATGTTATTATGTTGTGCATTCTGGTGAGAAGATCCTCTGTAAATGGGGCACTGTGTATAATAAGAACAATAACTCCACCTGCAGTGAACATGAGCAGCATTGTAACAGCCTGAACGGTGGATTTGAATTCCTGACAACAACTGCACTCCTATCACTGTGACACTAACAGGGACCTTCAGATCACATTTGCAGTAATATGTGGGTACGCTCCATGTTTTATGATTTGCAGATGAACTTGTAATTTTTTCATGGCTTCTGGAATCAGCACATTACAAAAATAAGGCTCTTTCACTGACCGTGT